GGCCGCCTCTCTGCTCCTATGATGCTGCTTGGCCTGCTGTGTTCATCCAGCCCTGCACCTTGTTGTCTAGGGTCATAGTTTAACATTTGTTTGTACAAGCCAAAAGCAATTTTAAACAGCAAGTTTTTCTTCATAGAATGTGTGATCAATTCATGGAATGAATTCCTAGGGCGAATGATGGAGATGAAAACTCTGAAATCATTGAATCGGATCCTGCAAATGGGGAGTTTTAAGGCCTTTTATGGAGGATAAACTAAGATGGATTGAATTATCTTCCTCCTCCATAAATATATTGTAATCGATTTTAGAGATTATTCCAGATGATTAGTAGTCAACACAGATGTATTTTCATACATTTGGATGTATTTATCATTTATTTACAGGGTTTGTCACAAATTTTTCTACTCATTTTGAATAAATACTGAAGTAAAATTTGATCTGATGTCACCATGTGCATCTCATATAAATTATAAGCAATATTATACATATTTAGTGAAACATAGTTTGAATATAATATTTATAAGCATAAGATTAAAACACATCATGAAATTATCATCAGAGGTTAGTTTTGGGCTGTAATGTGATAACTTACTGCAAGGTGGCATGAATTATTAATTCCATTTTGGTGCTTTTATTTTTTATCTCTAGCAGTTGAATGCTGAAGTGGAATACAGAATAGCAATAGCTGAGCTTTTGGCACTGAAAGGTGTTTCCCTAAAAGAAAGAAATGAAAAAGTCATGGAGTTACAAAATCTTCATCAACAAGTTAAGAATAAAATAAAAGAATATGAAATAATTTTTCTTAAGACAGTTAAATTTCATAAGACCACTGAAGAGGTATGTGTTCAAATTTTTAAAAAATTAAAGTGTTCTTGAAGATGTTTGCATACTTTTTTGCTTCAGTTATTTTATCCCGTATGTCTAATTTTGATTAATTCAAATGATATCAGTTGATTACCCCATTTCTAAATCTTTCATATGATATATTCTATTCTAAATGTCACCACATTTCTAATTTGGCTTTTATGTTATGATTGTTTTGTTCTTTTCCCGATTAGTATAGTTGCATTGACATTTTAGTGAAATAATGCTCACAGTAATAGGAAAAAGAGAACAATGGAACTAAACTTTTCCATTTGAGAACTCTACCAAAATGTAAATTGTTGTATGGTGGAGTGAAAACGTGGGAATAGTCTACTTCTGCTCCTAATTTATATGTTCATATGTATTCTTCCATGTGATTAGTTACTTATCCTATTTGATGGCATAATTGTTGGTAATCCTCTGAAGATCTCCTCAGGCTCAAAATAACAGCAAAGACTGTAGAATCCATATAATATGGCTGGCTACATATTTCTGGGTTTCTTAGAGGTCAGTAGCAAATGCTGTTGCTTTGCCACTGTCTGCAACATTCAGGCCTATGAGAATGAGCACCCGCTTTCCTGTGGTGAGACAACATTTCTAATTTGGAGTAATCAACCTTGCCACAGTTCCGTGAGGAAGAGCAAAATTTAAAGGCTTATAAAAATGTAGAATGTGCAACATATCTATAACCGATGGCATGTTTAAGACACTCATTACTCAAAAGAGAGCAGGCTATGCTGAGATCAGATGCTTATTTAGTCAACATTTAGGGTCTGAAAACAATGCTTCAGTCCTTGGATTAGGTAAGGACAGCTTGATAATGTGGTTCAGAGTAGGTCGGCAAAATTATATTAGTATTTTGCCCACTTAACAATCTCATCATGGACAACAACAACATACTCTGTTTCCTTCAAATATGACTTTTCCACCAATGTCCTAGCCGTCCTCCCAAGTTCCACTCTCTGTAACTCTGCTGTTAGTATCCCAATTTGTCCAAAGTGTCGTTGACCAACTTTAGAATTCCTATTCTTTTCCAATCCTTCCTTGGCCTCAGCTCTCCCTACACTTTGTAATGTATCTCATTCCTACAATGCTACTGGATCTTTTTACCCCGACAGTCTCAACTCCAATTTTTAATTGTACTTTCAATCGTTCGAGGCCTAAGTTCTGGATATCCCACCTTCTCCCACTTATTCTGTCTCTCTGGATAGTTCTGAGGAAGGGTCACCCAACCTGAAACGTTAACTCTGATTTTTTTCTTCACAGGTGCGGCCAGACCTGCTGATCTTTTCCAGCAACTTCTGTGTTTGTAATCTGCCTCTCCCTCCTTTAAGATACTTCTTTAAACCAATGCTGTTCATCAAGCTTTTGGTCATCTGCCCTAGTATCTCCTTCATGGGCTTGATGTCAAAGTTTGTTAGTTAATGCTTTTGCAAAAACACTTTAGGATGTTTTACTACATCAAAGGTGCTGTATGAATGCAAATTGTTACTGTTCAATTAGGCTTTTAGTTTGGATTTGGGAATATTTATACAGAACTGCAAGTTTGTTTTCCTGTCTATATTTTGTAGTGACAAGTTGCATATATTCTGCCACCATCACATTTACACCACCGAAACCTTCTGTGGGAAATTACATTTACAGACATTAAAATATAGAAAAATTATTTTACTTTATTAGGAGCTGGATTTTGCAGGTTTTGTGGATGGTTGCAGGCAGCACCCAGTACCACTTATCCTTCTGAATCTGCTTGGATTCAGTTCATAGCACGGGTTAAAACAGGAATTCTAAAGCTGTGCATCTGTCACATACTGCTTCACCAGAGGCTGCTCTGTATGACAACTCCCCTCTCCTACTTATCCAACTCCTGTTCAACCAGGTTTAACTGGGCTTTTAATGGACATTTGAGTAATAGCTGCAGCTGAACATAAGAATATATAATTTTGCATTTGTGGAGTGTTACTAAATGTTGCAATTAAGATTATTACTAAATTTTTAAAAGCAAATTCTGAAAAAATCTTAGTTTTCTTCTGATATTTCAGTCTTTACATTCACACCCTACGGAAGTCTTAATCTTTGTATTCCTGTATGTTTTTTTTGAGTGAGCTTATTTTAGTGCTATGCGTTTCCTGGCCAGCTGTTTGTGAAAATTCTTTAATGCAAATGGCTACTTGGAGCGCTTGACACCAAAGCTTCAAGCTGACAACCCCTATTAAACAGCTCCACAATCAATTGCACAGTGAGATTGTTAGCAAGGCTTTCTTCAGGGTTAGCAGTTAAGAATCGATGTTTCACTATAGACTGCAAAATCCAGGCCACCTCTGGTAAAGAAACTGTCACTGATCTTTGGCGGTTCAAGGAAGCGGGAAGATCGATTGAATGCAGAATATGTATCAGCAAAAATTTTGCAACAGTGACGATATGTCTTTTGCTGGAGTTGCTTTGGTCTTATGACTATAATTTAAAAGCGTGCCTGTTGCCATTTGTACAAGATCAAGTGATGCCACAGATTTTCATTGACATTATTGCCTGTTAGCTGCTAGCATTTTGGTGCACTCATGCCAGTGAAGGATGCATTTTCACTTGGTCTACTGAACCTAAAGGAGCTTTGCAATGTTTCCTGTGGAATGTAATCCAAACAAACATTCCTGCGTGATCTGATTTATGACAGATGACTTTACATAGGAGGGTATTACATTCCCAAGCCTTCTGGAGAGCATCTGCCACACTTGTCCTGACAAAGCTACTTTATGTTGATGGGTATTCATGGCAAATGTATTACAAGTATATACCTGTTAAAAGACAGTATAATGCTTGACATGCTGCAAACACACTGCTGATTTTATCTCTGTATCTCAACCATTCATTGAGAGATCAAAATTTCCTGTCCTGCTTAATTAAAGCAATCCACCTTTTTGAAACTCCATAAAACTCCATGTCCCACTGCTAACATCTCAAATGTCCCCACTAAGAGTCATCTTTCACAATGCCTTTTACAATACGAGAAGAGAGGAAGAGTCACCGGACCTGAAACGTTAACTCTGTTTTCTCCTCCACAGATGCTGCCAGACCTGCTGAGCTTTTCTAGCAGCTTTGTTTTTGTTGCCTCTTTGACCAGTCTGTCTCCTCTCCACCTATCTTCTCCTCTATCCATCTTCTATCCGCCTCCCTCTCTCTCCCTATTTATTTCAGAACCCCCTTCACCTCCCCCATTTCTGAAGAAGGGTCCAGGCCTGAAACGTCAGCCTTCCTGCTCCTTTGATGCTGCTTGGCCTGCTGCGTTCATCCAGCTCTACACCTTGTTATCTCTTGTTTTTGTTGTTGTTGTTGGTGAAGAGAGAACCACCTGAGTCTGCAAGTTAAGCCATATTGTACAGAATAGCCAGTAAAACACAAGACACTAACATAAACATTCGAGAAAGAGTGAATGTGAATTCTTCCACAATACAAAATGCCCCTAATTCCTTATAATCACTAATATGTGCCAACCAGGAGATGTGTCAGTAGACTGATCTCTCTGTCGAAGCTAGTCTCACTGAATAAGGGTGATGCACACGTGAATAAAGTGAAAACAATCTGAAATATCTCTAAATGCAATTCAAATTTGAAAAGCCCTGGTGTCACCTTGAGATAGTAAGAACTGCCAATGCTGGACTCTGAAATAACACAGTGTGGAGCTGGAGGAACACAGCAGGCCAGGCAGCATCAAAGGAGCAGGAAAGCTGATGTTTCGGGTCAGGACCCTTCTTCAGAAATGGGAGAGGGGGAAAGGGGCTCGGAGCCCCATCGGAGGAAAGATCCTTTCAACATCCAGGTGCTCATGTCTCCGCAGGATCTGCTGCATTGTCAGCTGATGATGCGTTTCACCACTGAAAACGTTTCCTCACTGTGAGATCATCATAGTCCCCCATACACATTGCTGGCACTTTACATTTTAATTGGAATCTCTTGGAAGTGAATAAGAAGAAAGAAGGCAAAAGTGGCAGCCACTTTCTGCTCCATCATTGCCATGGTTAAAATTCCTCCTTATGGCAGACAGGTGCCTGATCTCTTCCAGCTATTGGCTGATTCTTCCAAATGCAGTGGATTGATGACGGACTGAATGGAGGTAGCAAGGCACTTACAAAAAAAAAGGCACCAGTAAAGCCCAATTTTACCAGGTATTTACAATCCTTCCAGGAGCACACAGGAAGCATGGAGTGATGGAGGGTATGCAAAAGCAATGAGGTGAAAAATTGGCCAGTAGATTCAGAAGGGAAAATGTCGGGTCTGTGATCTTGTCTGCAACATGTATCCTTAGACAATCCAGACTGTCAGATCTGGTGGCTCTGCAGAGGGCGAATCTGAGGTGGTTTGCTGGAAAAGTATCTCCCAGGACCTAAGCCACTCGAAGTTGGACAAAGATCAATCAGAGCCTCAAAGCAGTTGAGATTTCATCTGGCGATAGGCTAAACATTTTCAGGTTTGGACTCACTCAGTGAGGAGGACAGTAGTCCATAGTTGGGGATGCAGCTGTAGGGTGCAGCTATATAGCAGCCAGAGAAACTCCTGCAGCCAGAGAAAGCCACTGGAGCTGAGTGACTAGGCAACTGGGGCAACCTGTCAGCAGAAGGTGCTACCCAGTTCAATAGGTGCAGCAGGGGTTGGGCTACGTGGGGATGTTTGAGCACCAGTGTCTGCACAGACTGCACTTTTTCAACGAGGTTCTGGTAGAACTATGGGGAATAACGGATCAAGAATTGAGGCTTCTGGGGAGTGGCAGCTACCCAGGGCCTTTTGCCTTACAGACAAGATTGGCTGTCAAATTCTATGCCAGCGGATTGTCCGAGGAAACAGCTGTGGTCTCTCTTAGTCAGCAGCCTATTTGCATAAATTAGGTCATGGATACCATGACATTTGGACAGATCAACACATCAACATTTCAATATAATATGGTAATCAAGTGCAGTCCGCTTCAGGGCCGAGGCTGGATTTTCCCAAGTGCAGGAGTCCATTAATTATGCTCAACATACCATCAAGGCTCCCTCCTCCCAGTAGCCTTTGAGAATAGGAAGTATTTTCAGTTGATAGTCTGGTTGTGTGTGACCACAGTGATTCCTGCCAGCATGTGGAAGGTTTGCAGAAAGCTGCTATAGCACCCACGTCCTTAAAAGATCCCAACTGAACTGCCTCAGCTCTTCAAACAACCCGAACATCTTTGTGCCTGGATCCTGGGGACAAGGGGTAATCAGTAAAGTCGTGACGTCTGAGCCCTGTATGCAACCCCACACACAGGCAAGAGTCATAATTAACTGCTTTTAAATAGGCCTGCTATTGATGCCTCAGTAGATTTGGGAGCCTTGAGGTATTTCCCCAGGATTATCAGCTGCTGAGGACTGTACAACCTGGCATTCCAGTGGGAAATAACACTGGATCCAGAGGAAAACACCAAGTGAACCACATCTAATAATATGGAGTCGCACATGTCATGGATGAACTCCTCCATTGCCTTTAAGTGGAATTACATTGTCTCTGGAAATACAGACAGATCCTCACAAATGTCATACATCACCTGGAGTTTCTGCTACCTTGCAGATGGCACCTAAGCCTCACTATCTATAAGGAGTGGAGCATCATTGGGCCTCTCCTATGTTTCTGTAAAGTCTGTGGTTAGCACTGACTCCACTACCCATCTTGTTTATCTACACGGTGCTCACCAAATTGTGCCTACCATTCTAGACACATAACAGAGCCCACTGACATGTATGTGTCTATCTGTACTGGTGAAGAATGCACAGGAATGATGTGACAGTATCTTCCATTGTTGTTCCATCCTCTGAGCTTTCTAGTGTGTTTGTATCACTGGTCTTTCCCTCATTTGCTGCTAGACCAAATGGGAATATTAAAGTGTAGCATTTAGCTCTTCATCCAGCTTCTTATTAATGAGGGGCATGCAGTGGTGTTGAAGGTCTGAGTAATGGAACAAAATCTTTAGGAAATCTTCATACTTTGCACCTACCTCACTCTGTAACATGCTGTCCTGCAGTGACCCAACCTGCATGGCCACCTCTTCCTTTATTAGTGTCACTGTGGTGATAACAGTTGGTTGTTGATGTACCCTGACATTTTGAGAATGTTTCTCCTGCAAGCAGGAACATAGGCAAAACCAAGCTGCCTCATGTTGCCTATGTGCTGTTCACTCTAAGGCAGTGTAAATGTATAGTGTGGAGCTTATGGCATGCCATGGCGTGGAAGCCATTCAGCCATCATAATGCAGGATTCGTCCATGTCTGAGCATGGGTCTTGGATGCAGGTTAACTGAATGCCTCCATGCTAACACTGGTGCTTGATATAGCCCTGTTTATGGGCTGTGATCTTGCCTCTGATTTCAATGGACACTTTTCATTCAACTGAGGATTCCCAGATGCCAGCTTCTATCACTATTAACTGTTCCAGATCGCACCGTGTCATTCAATAACCTTCTGCACTAAATCTAGGCTTTGTCGCCAACTCATTGGCTACTCTGTTTCTGCCATTTCTAGCCATATCTTCTTGGTTATGACTGAGGATCCCTTCCCCATTCTTCTGAAGAAAAGACCTGTCTCTGTTCACAGCCTGCTTCCACAAGACTGTCATGGGAGGCATCACTGAAGCTTGAGGTGACCTTTTCTTGCATCTCAGGATTTCCTCATCTTTCCACCTCCCTCATAAGAATTTAATTGATTCTGAATTAAGGAGCTTTTCCTGTCCATGTCAAAATAGTTTCTGCATTGGGCAGAGGGTGATGCCAAGGTATGAAACACATCAGGTCTCACTCCTTGAGCTATTGGCAGCAAAATGATGTTACTTCTATGGGAGGCCCCCACCCCATCTCTCTGGCTCTTTCTCTCTCTCTCTGTCTCTCTCTCCACCCATCACCTTGTTGAATATCATACATCAACCCAAATTTCAGTCTTCGATCTGACTTTCTGGGTATTAACATCATAACAATTAGATTAATTATATTTCCAAGTTATTACTACTAATATTCCTTGGTTTTCGTATTCTCCATGGATTTGATGTTATCCAAAATTCTACTGCCAAATCCCCATTCAATCAAGTCTGTTCATTCATCTTGTGCTCACTAACCTACAGTGGTTCCCAATTAAGCAGAGTTTAATTTTAGTATTCTCATACTTAATTTCAAATCCCTCGATGACCTCTCCCGTTGTTGCTGCAAGTTCCTGCAGGCAAATATTCCTCCAACATATCAGCAGACCTCTAATTCTAGCCTCTAGAGCATCCCTTAGTTTTGTTACTTCATTATTGGGGACCTGCTTTCAACTGCCCATTCTGTAATCTCTGGAATTCCTTCTATACATTCCTCTGTCCCTCTACCTTGTGTTCCTACTCTAAGAAATTCTTAACATCTACCTAGCTGACCAAACATTTGGTCGTTTGCACTAACATTTCCTTATGTGATTTTATTTGGTTTTTGGAGCTGCTCCAGTGAATTGACTTTGGTATCTTTTATTACATTATAGAGATTGTTTATATATAGGTTGTTATTGTAGTGACTTTTGTTATCAATTATAAATTCACGGACTTCATTTCAGCTTGAGGTTATGAAGAAGACTGGAGAACTAGAATATCCAGAACTGTTAACAATGTCAGACAGTAGCAGAGAAGCAAAGATGCAACTTAGTCACCATCAAGAAAAGCAGTCACATGTGAGCCATTTGTACAAATTGTCCCTCACACTGGCAATGGATATCATCTCCATTACTCAGCAATCTGTAAGTTAATTTTAGATGGTACAGAAAATTTTCCATTGTGACACATAGAAGTGTATCTTATCTCTAGCTGGCTTACCGTTGATCATTTTCTTTTGAGTAGAAATTCATTGAGGCTTCAGTGGATTCTCTACAGCAAAAACTGAAAGCTTTAGAGAGTGAGAGCGTACAATGGAGTGCAAAGGCAGATCAATATGGAGAAAAACTGGAAACAAACTTGCATTATTGTACCATGAAAGAAGAAATAAATGAGGTTAGTACAAAAAACAAAATAGAGTTTTGAAAAATAAAATCAGTTGGTTTAAGACATCAGTGTGATGGATGAGGAATGTGCAGATTGCCAAATCTTGTGAATTTTCACTTTAATTAAATCTGCAAACTTCCACCACTAAAGTTAGTGTCTTGGACTGCTCTTCTTTCCATATTCTGATATTTGAATTGTGCTGCCAGCTGAAGACTGTTTTTACAATTATATATAAAGCCTTGGAAAAGGAAATACATGGTATTGACTAAAGAATGATTTTAAAAGTGGTCTTTATTATTTTAACATTAAGGGGGAGAAATTAGTCCTTGCAGAGCCCATTTCTGGGTGGAAAACAGGCAAATGGAAGCAGTTTAAGGACCAATATGCCATACTTGATTTGTGTAATTGCAAGAGCTAAACCATCCAAATATCCTAATTGAAGTTGAAATTAGGCCCCCTAGGTATATGAGTATAGAGGCTTAATTCCTGATTAAGGACCTTTTAAGGAACTTCAGGGGCACTGAAACACTCATTGTTTTGGCTCCTAATGGAGCTCATCCATTCATTCTTAAAAGGACTGCTGAGAACTGTTACCACCAAGGTAAGTATGTTTTTTTGAAGTTTACTTTTCTATGGAGCAAGAGGGACTACGAGTACATGCCTTCGATCCACAACTCTATTTGGCCAACTGGCAGCTGGTTCTTGATCATAACACTCCCCCTCTCCCGGATCCCATCCCACGTCTGTCCTGGGTAGCAGGCTGCATTCCCTACCTCTCCCCTGTCTGCATATCGGTCTGTGCACCCACTCCCCACCCCAACTGGTTATATGTGAATGCCCAAATTAAAACAGTTGCCATAGTCTGACCAGACCACAGGCCTACTCTCTTATTAGAGAGAGACAAGTGGTGGTGATTTAACCTGAGGGTCACTACACCACAGGCGAGGGGAAAGATTGGGAAGGAGAGTCCTTCATGGTAACTTTAGCTGGTGTGGGGATTGAACCTATGCTGTCGGCCTCACACTGCTTCACAAACCAACTGTCCAGCCAATAGAATACCCAATAGAATAGAATAGGAAACCAACTGTCTATAGAATAGGTCCCTATGATTTGAAATGGTGGGGTATACATCCTTGATATTTTGCAGGCTTTAGTTCGCAGATTTTGATGGTAGCCATCTTTATTCTTCCCTTTGGATAAGCATGCCATTCTCCCAAACACTGTATTAATGAGGGGGCACCCGATAAATACAGTGTAGAGTATGGAAACAGACCCTTCAGTCCAATTCATCCCTGCTGACCAGACATCCCAATCTGACCTTGTCCCATTTGCCAGCATTTGGCCCATATCCCTCTAAACTCTTCCTATTCATGTACCAACCCAGATGCCTTTTAAATGTTGTAATTGTACCAGCCTTCACCACTTCCTCTGCTAGCTCGTTCTATTCTTGGGGATTTATCTACCTTTATGTGTTTTAAGACCTTCAGCACCTCCTCTTCTGTAATGTGGACTCTGTTCAAGACGTCACTATTTATTTCCCCAAGTTCCCTAGCTTCCATGTCTTTCTCCACAGTAAATACTGACAAGCAATATTTGTTTAGAATCTCACTCATCTCCTGTGGCTCCACACACACAGGACCTCGCTGATCTTGAAGGGGCCCTGTTCTCTCCCTAGTTAAGGGTGCAGACTTGCTTGATGAGCCGGTGTGTTTGATTGCAGACACTTTGCCACCCCGCTAGGCAATATCGCCAGTGCGCCTCTGTTGAAGCGCCAGTGCTCTGTCCCGCCTGCGATCCATATGCCTCGGTTTGCTGGGGTGGTTGGCACCACCCCCAGTCCTGTTCTTCAGTAGCCTGTATATCGGGTCCAGCCCAATGTGCTCGCCAGCGGAGCTCCAGCCAGAATGCCAGGCCCCCAGGAACTCCCTGGCATGTCTCTGCTTGGCCTGTGCCACCATGGATGTGCTTCTTTGACATCAGTTCCGTCAAACTTTATGACTTTGGTGATTCTTGTGACCCTTCCTTTGTTTTCATATGCCAGAGATTGGTTTTGTGTTTGTAGAAAGCTACACTAACACAGTTAAATGAGGAAATAGGAAAAGATATTGAATACTAAAAGAATTCAGATTTAAAGGGAGCTCCAATTTCCAACAGGGATAATTTTATCTCCTTCACAATACCTTGAAGAGAGAATCGGACAGTAAAAGATGACTGAATGACAAAAATGCAGCTTTGGAGAAGAGCTGAGGATTACCGCCATTCAATTAGAATAGCAAGAAAGCAACATCTTGTGATTCCTGCACCGTGTTTTCACTTCTGTGACAAAGAGATGAGTGAACCACTCAGAAGGCAACAGAGTATAGATTTGTTTCTTCAAAGAATACGCTGAAGGACTGAAGAATCAATGAAGCTGTCTTCAGAGATTGTTGTTTTTGACTGGAAGATTCACAGTCAGTGCTGCTGGGACTGCAACAGGAGCTGTCACAAAGCACTCTGAACAAAAAGATGACATGGGGAATATATGAACTGCCTATTGTCACATCTGAGTTTGTCTCTAGACAGGGTTTTCTCAGCTCTCATATGAAAGTAGAACACTAGACTCATGCTTCTGCACTGCTGAAAAACTTTTCTGCTCATGTAGCGCTTCCTGTACCTTGTGCTCTTGTACAAACTCAGTGTGACTACTCCATTAAGCTGAAAGTACTTGGACTTTCATCACTTCTTCATTATGTAGTGCCTTCTCATAAGCACTGCTCATCTAACAACTAGCCTCACTTCACTAGTTGAAGGATTCAGCTCTCTCTGATCTAGAAAAGTGTCGGAGAAATCTTGACATACTGCATCGAGAACTGAAAATGCAGAGCGTACGATGTAGACATAGAAGCAGAAGTAAGCCTTTCAGGCCATTGAAGTTTGCTGTGCTGCTGGTGGGGAGGGGAAGTGGTAGTGGGGTGGTAAGAGGTTACTGCAGAATCTCCTTCTGGAAATGACAAAACTAACCCAAATAGTGAGGGTTTGCAATGCTGACCAAATCCTTGGAAAAACTGAGAAAATTCCTCACAGAAAAATCATCCAGTCGTCTTGACATAGAACTTCAGTAGGACTTCAGCAGGACATCTTCTATAATACCGTCCAGTCTTCTTTGGGTAAAAAACACATCTTTTTGGACAGGCTGAGAGAGAGCCTCACACAATGAAATCTAACAATCACCTGAGCATAGCAGTTCATAACTGAATGGACAATGGGTTATTGGTTGAAATCATCAAACAACCCGAAAGCACCTTGCTGACGTGGAACTTAGAAGCTAGCCTCAGTTATGTTGAACATGAAACCGTCATCAATTCTTGTAAAATCCCATCTGGCTCACTAATATTCTTTAGGGAAGCAAATTTACCATCCTTCCCAAGATCAGCCTAAATTTGACTCCACAACCCACTACAGTGAGTTTGACTCTGAACTGCTCAGTGAAAAGGCTTACTAACCAACTTAATGAAGGATGGACAACAAATGTTGGTCTTGCCAGTGACACTTGTATAAGAACATAAGAACTAGGAACCAAGAGGAGGCAATTCAGCCCCCCAAGCCTGCTCCACCATTTGATATAACCATGGCTGGGCTGATCTGAACTCGGTCCCAACTGGAGTTTCCTGTTTGTGCTCTATAACCCTTCAACCCATTACTAATTAAAAATCTGTCTACCCCCTCCTTAAATTTACTCCATAACTCAACATCTATTCTTTTGGGGTAGTAAATTCTGCAGATTCGCCATCCTATGAGAGAAGTAATTTCTCCTCATCTCTGTTTTAAATCTGCTGCCCCTTATCCAAACACAATGACCCCTCGTTCTAGATTGAGGAATTGAATCCAACTTGAGGAAACATCTTTTTGTATGTCTACTTTGTCAATCCACTTTAGCATCATATGTACCTCAATTAGATATCCTCTCATTCTTCTAAAGTCCAGAGTTTATTGGTCTAAACTGGTCAATCTCGCTTCATAAGAAAAACCCTTCATCTCTGGAACCAATTCAGTGAACCTCCTGTGAACTGCCTCCAGTATAACTACATTCCTCCTCAAGTGAGTGGCCAAACTTCTGTGCAAAACTTCAGGTGTGATCTCAACTTATTACAATAGCAGCATCACTTCCTTGCTTTCATATTGTATTCCCTTAGCAATTATTGCAAGTATTCCATTTCCCTTCCTTATTACTTGTTTTACCTGTTTTCTAGTTTTTTGCAATTCATGCACAAGGACACCCAGATCCCTCTGCAACAAAGCACTCTGAACTTTCTCTACACCTTATTGGTTGAAATCATCAAGCAGCCCAAAAGCATCTTGCTGACATGGAGAGCATTGCACCAAATGGAGAAAGAGGGCATATAGTGGTAATGTCACAGGACTATAAATTCAGGGGCCCAAGCTAATTTTCTGAGGACATGGGCTCTAAAAACACCACACCAATTTATAAAATCTGGAATTTAGAAGCTAGCCTCAGTAATGATGACCATGAAGCCATCATCTATTATGGTAAAATCCCATCTGGTTCTTTAATATTCTTTAGATAATAAGTTGCCTTTCTATTGCTCTGACCAAAACGGACAACCTCACACTTCTACGTTAAACTTCATCTACCAAATTTTGGCCCAATCACCTAACCTTTCCATAAAAATTTGTAAATATCTTGTTTCTTCATTGCAACTTATTTCACGCTTATTTTAGTATCATCTAAAGCACTTTCTATCCCTATTCACTATGAAAGAATTAAGAAAAAGAAATCTAATTATGTGAAAACCTGGTGACTTAACAAGAGTATCGTTTTGTTCCTGATGACATAAAAAGTCTCTGCAAATACTTTACCAACTTAAGTATGCGTCACTTCAATCCAGCTTCAAACTGGAAGGCTAACACCCTCAAGAGTCTTGATCTGATCGAACACATTGTGTAAAGTAACTTTACACTTGGAGACGGTACAGTAATGATTGATCCTGAATCAAGAAATAATTTGGTAT